AGCCCAGATGTCATCAACTGGCTATCAGACCTCAACATACAGCTTGTAATTAACCTCCATTTTCTCAATGCTTGTCCTAGCCATACGAAGGAAGAAGGTGGTGGTGGTGTTTTGGGCATTTTTCCTGGATTTTCTGGGCACCAAAAATCATGCCCATGGTGTCTCTGGGTGTCTAGGTAGTATGTTGAGTATTCACTAGTAAAAAAGAGTGTATGCGTGATTTGGCTATCACAGACTCTGACCTCTGGTGGTGGTGATGGTGGCTGGCAGGTAGTGCTAGTGGATGATGCGCATACCTACCTGGGAAGTCCCTTTTGTTCCCTCTGTGCTAGGAGGAGAATGTATGAGGAAGCACAGTCCTTCCATAAGCTCCCCAAGGTCTACTGCAGCTTCATGCTTTCTCTAATACAGGGTTATGGCTAAATGGCACAATTTAGCTCAAAGCATATAAAACCTAGGTTAAAAAAAAGTGTGCATGTGTCTACATACGTTCAGCATTCTCGTCTATAGGTTTCTGTAGCGTAGTCTGTTGCAACATGTGATATCTATCACAGTCCTTCAGTAAAAATTCCATTCCCCAAAATGATTTTAAAATGTTGCTATAATTCATTTGGGAAATGTACAGAACAATTTCTTTCCTTCTAAGGTTGAAAGGTCCTTATCTAATGTTTCTAACAGTTCATCTGTTAGGTTCTCACTAGCTCAGATTGGGCTTTTTATTTCAAGAGAAATTGCTACAGATTTAATGAAGGGAACATTTTGAAACCAATTTTCAGGATTCTTTTTCCTAAAGGGATTAAACTGCTAATGTAAATGTCTGCAATAAAGCAATACTCACACATATGATGAAATTTGAGATCCAATCACTATCTAGCATTCACACACTTGGAAAGAGTTGATTGAAATTAGTGCACCCTTCATGTGCCCCCGCCTTTTCTCTCAATTTGTCACACCATTGGGAACATCGAATAGAAATTTCATTGGATTTTAACTGACTTAACCCCTTTAGCAATCCTTGAATCGTTCACTTGCAGAGATGATGACAAACCCTGGGTTTAGGGAGGGGAGAAGGAGCTTTTCAGCAGCCCTGCATCAGGGCACAAATTTTAATGGCAAAAGATTTTCACTGCCTTTAGTCTACAAACAAAAAGATCTAAATGAGGCATTTTTCGATGCAAATGGAAGAAGGTGGAAAATCCCATCTTCGGTCAAGGGCCATGTAGACTATAGATTTTCTTTCTTGTTGTTGTTCACAGCAGGCTTCATCTTGATTTTTGGTTCATCTTAAATCAGCTGATAAATTTCATGCTGCTCAGTTTGGTCACAATCTCGTGTGTCTGTGTATCCAGGAAAAAATATTTTTCAATTTTATTCTCAAAACTAAAACAGTCCTATTCAGCTGCTCTGTTAGAGAAGGAGCATTAAACACACTTCTGGTTTTTATAAAGCTTCTCAGCGATCATCCTTATGAGGGAATTCTACTCATAAGTGCAGGTTATCCATGTGTGGTTTTTGACAGGGGAGTAGTAAAAAGAGCTGCAATTCTGTAATGGGATAGCACTGATTTTTTTTTTTTTTTTTTTTTTGGGGGAATAAATGTT